CATAAACATGACACTACCCCCGGGGTTTACACAGACGAGCCGGCGAAGCAAGAAGAGCGCCAGAAGAAAGGGCCCTAGCCGGCGGGGCCCAGCCAGGACAAAAGGAGGTCCCACAAAGCGCCTACACCGGCCGCATTTGCGGTCGGGGTAGACGACGGATGGGGCCCACCTACGAAGGCTGTCCAGGCCTACACGAGATGAGGCAGGATAAAGAGGGATAATCCCCCTCGATCCCAAATCATTGAGGCCAATTTCTAGCCATAGAATAATGGCGCTACTACAAGGACAAGGAGGAAGCACCACGTGTTAAAAACTGTTGACACTGCAGAGAAAGAGCGATAGTTTGAGTACTCACTCTCTCTCTCTCTCTCTAATCGCTGAGGAAAAGTAGTGAAATCCCGCCCTTCCGCCGAGTGTTAGCTAATCACGTGTCTGACCGAGAGAGAAATTTAGTACCCAAACTATCTCTTTCTCTCTCCGTCACTCATCTACACTATCGCCGTAAGCGTGCTTCCTCCATGTAGTATATACTCTAAATTAAAATGAATAATTCAGGGAATTAGTTACGTTAACTGAAATAAGAGATTATTTCAATCAACGCTAGTTATTTAGTTTACATTGGTTCACATACTTTTCCATCCACTGAAATTTACAGTTAAATCTAAAAAAAATATTTGTCTATGATCTCTGGTTTAAATACCCATGTTATTTGATTTGAAGAAGAAGAAGAGAAATTGTAGTTAACCTATAATATACTGATAAACAAACGTCAACTATTTTGTCTCAGACAAATTTAAAATTTCGTAAGCCCTGAAAATTATATTCCTTTAGAAGACACTTTTTCTAAAAATATACAATCATGGATGATGCGAAAACAGTTTGGTGTGGAAATTTGTCAGACCAAGTAACGGAGGAATTGCTATATGAACTGTTTTTGCAAGCTGCCCCATTGGAAAGAGTTAGAATACCTACAGACCGTGAGGGGAGGAAATCCAATTTCGCTTTCATTACATTCAAACACGAAGTATCAGTGAACTATGTCCTTCAATTACTAAATGGTACTCGACTCTTTGACAAACCGATCAATGTAAAACCCAGAAATAATAATTCACAGAATCAGATAGGAGAAAGAAATGTTCAACACAATGATCATCAGAAACACATAAACTATGGTGATTTCCCAAAAATGGGACAAATAGAGTACCATAACTATGAAAACATGCAAGTACATAATTACGAAAACAGACAAGGGCGTCGGGAACATAATTATCGCGATAACTTTCGCGATCGGGAAGATCGACATAGAGATAATCACAAGGCATACAAAAAACATGATTACCAAGATAATAGACAGAATGATTCGCCTAATAGAAGAAGAAATAATTATACGGATAGAAGAAATTTTAATGACAGAAACAATAGAAGAAATAATCGTAATTATTATTAGAAGAATTTATACACTTTATATTACCTTTTTTATTAAAAATTAACTATCAATGTAAATATTGTGATGACTAGACCATACTTGAAATAAAATTTTAATTTCTCGTTTAGTTAATTACCTATATATTTTTTACAATGCAACTGTATTCCGTGCAATCTCAGTAATCTGCAGAAACAGAAATATTCATATAAAATCGGTTGTTTGATCACATTTATTATTTACTTTTCTCAACTTTTTTAAATAAGAATATGAAGTTTATCATATTTTCTTAGATTATCGTGTTCTATGGAATGCGTTTGTGGCTTGTGGCCAAGGATTTTATACAATTTTATAAAATCCTTAGCTTGTGGCAAGGTTACCGTTTGTACGGTTATGTACAAAACTTGGTGAAAAAAACAGGTTATGTTATGTTTTTAAAATTAAATCTTGGGTTATTTAAATTAATGCATATATAAACGAATATGCAAAAATGGCTCCTATAAATACAGAGAAAACTAAGAAACAGAAGTGGAGCGACATAAACAAAATAAAAAAAGAAGAGAAAAAGAAATGGAAAGAACAAAATATGATGAGAAAATTAAACAAAAAAAAATTAAATGTGGACAAAACTGTGCCTGAAGAGACATTAGAAACTCCCAAAATTGATAAGATATCCACTTTTATATCAACATTGTCAATAGCCGTTCCTGGATCCATATTGGAAAATGCACAGTCTCATGAACTGCGTACCTATCTGGCAGGTCAGATAGCAAGGGCAGCTTGTATCTTTCAAGTCGACGAAATAGTAGTATTTGATGATTATGGTGACGAAGCGAACTCAAAGAAATCTACGATTGAAGATAACGGTGGTTTAATAACAGCCAGGCACTCCTGTGTACAACTAGGTAGAATTCTTCAATACTTAGAATGCCCTCAGTACTTGAGGAAAAGTTTCTTTCCAATACATAACGACTTAAAGTACTGTGGTATTCTAAATCCTCTAAATGCACCTCATCATATGGGGCCCAATGATCAGTTTGCTTATAGGTGAATACAATGTGAAGGCAATGTAAAGTTCGTGTTCAAAAATTGTTTATTTTTAGAGAGGGTGTGGTTCTGAATAAACCAGTGAAAAGTGGAAGAGGTTCTTGCGTAAATGTGGGACTCTTAAAAGACGTTCATGTGGACAAATCATTAACACCCGGTTTAAGATGTACAGTACAATTATTGCCGCAACAAGACAATTCAAAGAAACTAAAAGGAATTGTTGTTTCTCCAGCCACACCACGAAAAGAAACTGGCATATACTGGGGCTACTCTGTCCGAATTGCAAATTCTTTATCAAAAGTATTTTCGCAATGCCCTTACGACGGGTAAGTTACTAAACAACCAATGGATATATTAAAACTTGGGCATTTCAATTTCAGATATGATTTGATAATCGGAACATCAGATAAAGGTACATCTGTGGACGAGTTTAATTGTCCCAAATACAAACACCTCCTAATTATGTTCGGAGGACTGCAGGGTCTAGAAGCAGCCATAGAAAATGACCCCGTGCTCCAAGTCGATGACCCTCAGTTACTGTTTGATCAATACCTTAATACTTTACCGAATCAAGGTTCTAAAACACTCAGGACAGAGGAGGCCATACTAGTGAGTTTAGCTGCTCTAAGGTCGAAACTTAATCCTGAGGGAAAATGCGCTGAATTTAAAGGTTTCAGTGAAGACGTTAGTGAAACTGTGCCAATTGATAGTGGGGACAAACAGGTTGATAGTGGTGACGATATGAGTAGATTTGACTAAAGATATTCTGATTTTAAGTATACAGGGTGTAACTAAAATCTTTGGCTAATTTTTAATGTTGATTCTATAACGGAAAGAAGAAAACAGTTGTAGTGATTTTATTTAAGTTAAAGTAAATGCTGTAGTCAGCTCTCGCTCTCACACTTAGCTACAAAAAAAAGTCATGTTTTCATTAACATTTGTTCAAACGATTAGAAGAACTTTTTCTAAAATCGACAGTTCTCTGTGGAAGAGATGCCTAAAGTATATCCAATGTCAGCGGGAACATCAAAACAAATTTCGTTCTTTGGTTTGTTTCCTAGCATAACGGGTCATTATTTTGCATTAGGCACCAGCGAGAAAACTTTATTTGAACATTTTCAAATTTGAATTTACCTAAACCTTGACCCAAACTTTGAATTAACCGATAAACCCTTATAGCTGATTTTGTAGACTCACGAGTCAAGCTAAAGATCCTTGGTTGAAAAGCATATTTCTGTGAAAAAATATTACTTTTCGTATTTTATTTCTACACAATATAAATATTACGACATTAATATGTACAGGTGAACTTTCAGTTTGCAGAGTCCAAGCTTGATTTTTATATACAAGTTTTTAAAATCAACGGGTCCATCGAATATTTCTTGTATTTAGATTTACAGGATGTTTCGAAAAGGTGTTGCCAAACTTGAGGGGGATATAGAGGACATTGTGGTAGAAAATTTTTGAATATAAACCCCTAGTCGGAAATAAGCCGTTTTGGCCCTAGAACAATTTTATGTTATCTCATTAACACCAAGAAAACTTTTGATATTTAAGTAATTTTTATTAAGAATAACGCAAAAAATTATTTGAAACAAAACACGTTTATCTTTTCTGATAAATGTTTACCAACTGCATGTCCTACATATGATGTTAAAAATAGATTTTATCCACAACTGTGTGATAAAAGCACTTTTGCGTGCATCTAATCTAGCCATGCAATGTCATCTGTGTCACGCTGTGAGGAATAGTGAAACAATTGAACAGAGCTGTCACGTATTAAATGATCGGACTATCGGACCCAAATTTGTTTTGTTTGTAACGAAATTTTGCTTCTAAGTTGTTGAAATGGATCAGTCGAAGAGTATGCAGATATGCCTCTTTTTTATGGCGAAGCAAGTTGCAACGCTAGAGAACCTGAGCACTATCTGAATCACCAACATCATTATCGAACAACTTTTTCATCAATCTATCGTCATTTAAAAAAAAAGCAATTTTAAACCAGATGTAGAAGTTGACATCCACAAATTGCACGGACAGTGGTCATTGAGGAAGAGGTTTTGCATCGAACTAAAGAACAACCTACCACAGGCCGTTTTGAACAATTATTATAAATTTATAATTTTTGCGTTGTCTTCAATAAAAATTACTTAAATATGGAAGCCTTTTGGAGTCAACGTAATAACATTACGTTTTTGGACAAATATTGCTCCAGGGAAAAAACGGCTCATTTCCGATTAGGGATTTATATACAAATTTATATTTGATATCAGAATTTGTATAGCCAAATTTAATTTAATTCATTAATAATACTCATTTATTTAAATGTTTTATGAAAAAATTCTACAAACACTATAATGTTAGTTGTCTATTGACTTATCCCAATAATCGGCTAATGCGATGCTGTTATTCAGGCATAATTTCCGTCACCTAATTAGCTGCAATGGAATATTTTTTTGGCCACATTTAATAATTAGTTATTTTATCTTTGTCTTAAAAAACATTTTTTAAACATCGATGATTATATAAATTCACCTTTTTCCCCACAATTTCACTTATAATCCAGAAAAATTACATTAAAAATGTCAAGGTATTTAACAATGTAGAATGAATAAAAATTAAGACAGACGAAAACTGCTTGTCCTATTGTCAATCAATAAAAAATGTTAAAAAAATAAATTGTTGAAAATTAACTCATTCAAAACCTTTTTTTGAGCATACAAATACGAAAATAGAGAGATACGAGATGAGAATATCAGTATATAAAACTATTTCTAGTTTCCAAATACTGGAAAAGGACAACAGTTGTGAATATTACACTCAGTTCTTAAAGAACGAGTTTTTGAAGTTTACTTGTGACTGTTTTTTCATCAACACTCATTTTAACCTAAATGTAACAAAAAAAATATGAAATTTAATCTCATTCCAGTTTTAAAACCGTTTAATAATGCTACTTTTTTACCTTCTAAAAAGTGTCACTTTATCAACATTTTTGTACCATACATTGACTGTCATAAAGTAATATTTTATGCAGAAGATAGAGCAATATTCTAATTTAATGATACAATGGTAGCCAAAATATTCTTTTAATTTATAGTCTTAGTTTTACTATTATTTAATTTAATATCCTCTAGTGACTGAGAACCAGCAAAAGCTGAAAAAGGCAAAACCACCCTATTTTATTTAATTTTGAACATCTTTTAAAAACTGCATTTATGGACATCTATATAGAAACTTTTTTTAAGTAATTTGTAGGAAATATAGCCAAGCGTTTTAGTTCAGTCCTGTATGAATGGTTAAGATTTATAAATTTGTTATATATTTTTAAATAAATCATATTAAAAAAATTACTTGTAAATTTGAAGCTTGAAATTCAATTATTATCGTGTCGACATCATCAGAGCAAGTTACCAACAAACCTTAACAGTTTTTAGACAATATTAACTTCTAAAATATTAAGATCCTTAAATTCACTTCAAATTGAATCCGTTTCCTGGTGAAATTTTGGGATAACTTTAAAGTAATGCTTTTTTATAATCCAAGTCTTTATTTCTCTATTTTCATGAAATATAGAATATAAATTGACAAATATAACAGTGTATTAGGATTAAATTTACATGTAAATTATATCGAAAAATATTCACCTTGTAACCAATAACAGTAATCCAAAGGAATGTATAAAAACCGTTCCATAAACCTTAGAATACAACTTACAATTTTGTACAAACCTAACCCAAACGAAAAAATTTCAAGCTCAACGTTAATAGTTTTCATCTGATTCAATACTGTAACTGGAATCACATTGGGCGCCAAATTAGACATTGCATTTGTGTATTGAGCTTTCAACAGTTTCTCTTAAACTAGCGATAACAGCCTTTTGATCTGCGGAATTTATTATTGCTGTCCCTGATACTATCATATTGGCACCAGCCTGAAAATTAAAAAAATGTAATAATATAATATTAACAATTCTTCGATCAAGTACCTCTGCACAGGCATTTATTGTATTTAGTCCAACGCCTCCATCCACTTCTATATCAAGTAAAGGGTAGTTATGCCTTAACCACTGAACTTTTGGCATCATATCATTTATAAACTTTTGTCCACCGAACCCTGGTTCAACGGTCATAATTAAAATCATATCTGCATGTTCGATATATTGCCGTACTGCCTCGATACCTGTACCTGGTTTTAACGCTAAACCAACTTTCATACCAGCCTCCCTAACTTTTCTACAAATCGGCAAAACATTCTGTGGAACTGGTTCTATATGAAAAGTATACTGACTTACACCAGCATCGGCCATCGGTTCTATCCACTGGAAATCAAAAGAATATTAAAGTTAATATATTAAGAGGTAGTATTTTGTTATTGCAAACCATTTCTGGATCAGACACCATCATATGTGTTTCGAAGAAAGCGTTTGGTATTTTCTTCCTTAAACATTTCACTACAGGATGACCGAAAGTTAGGTTAGGAACAAAACTACCATCCATAACATCCAAATGTAAATAATCGGCTCCATTATCTAACAATTTTTGTGATTCCACGTAAAGCTGGGATAAATCGGCATTTAAAACTGACGGCCCAATCTTACACTTCACCGAATTCCTGTCCATTTTCAAGAGGCAAATCGTCACACTCTCTTCCAAGCTGGAGTGCAATTTAACCTAAAAAATTCATTGCTTATATTGGTTTGCTTATCGCGTGATGGAAACGTGAGGAGAAAACGACAAACGTGAACATTTTCTCTGATCTGAAAATGATCATGCATGAATCAATTTTAATTATCTTTCAAGGCTTTTTTTAAGTATGATTTGTCACTTATCAAAATCACGTTCCAAATTTACTACATTGGGACTAATTAACTTAAAAGTGTATCTAAAAAAACATGTAATCAATAAAGAATGAAGTTTTTTTTATATTTTTATTCTTTATTTTAAAACAGTCCTATCATAAAATATTAAAGTTTTAAATTTAGCGCCAACTTTGAAATAACGTTTTGCGCAAAATCGTTTTCATAGACCCTTTGAAAAGAACTGAAGTTGCCGCCACATGCAGTACGTTCTTAATTTATAATTTTAAAGCAATTTCCGCATACTAATCATTTTAATTATGAAATATATTCTCGTTACTGGCGGAGTAATTAGTGGGGTTGGTAAAGGAGTGATATCTAGTTCTTTTGGGGCAATTTTGAAATGCTGTGGTATAGAGGTTACTTCCATTAAAATAGATCCTTATATTAATTTGGATGCTGGTACTTTTTCTCCATACGAACATGGTAAGATTTTAATTGTAGCGCCAAAAAATGAAAATATTTCATTAATAAATATGTTATCTATAACATCTGGTTGTTAACCTCGCACCTAACCTCAATCCTGTGGCATACCATCCTATTGTCATTTTTCAGGGGAGGTTTACGTTTTGGATGATGGAGGAGAAGTCGACTTAGACTTGGGCAATTATGAACGTTTTCTCAACGTTACACTTCATCGCCAAAACAATATTACCACCGGAAAAATTTACCAACAAGTAATTGATAGAGAACGTCATGGTGACTATTTAGGTAAAACGGTACAAGGTATGCTGTCTTGTGATTATTAAACAAGAAGTTTTATAAGACTTAATTCTTTTTAGTGGTGCCTCACATTACTGATGCTATTCAAGAATGGGTTGAAAAAGTTGCTCAGAAACCAGTTTCAGAGTCTGGGAAAACACCCGAAGTGTGTATAATAGAATTGGGGGGTATTATAGGGGACATTGAAAGTATGGCTTTCGTCGAAGCCTTTCGTCAGTTTCAGTTCAGAGTAAAACGTGAAAATTTCTGTGTTGCCCATGTTTCCCTAGTTCCACAGGTAAGACTGTATATAATTTGTCAGGTACAGGAATTTTTAACTAAATTTTCTCCTTAGCCAAGGACAACTGGTGAACATAAAACCAAGCCAACTCAGTCCTCAGTTCGGGAATTGAGAGGATTGGGTCTTTCTCCCGATATCATCGTGTGTAGATCTGAAAAACCGATAGGTCTAAGTGTTAAGGAGAAAATATCTAATTTTTGTCATGTGGCCCCTCAACAGGTAAGTTTATACAAAATTTGTATTTAATTATAACGGCTACTTTATATTTCTATTATTCTCAGATAATTAGTATACCGGACTTAAACTCGGTATATGAAGTTCCTGTATTTATGGAAAATCACAGTATGGCTGAATACTTAAGCGATCGACTTCATCTAGGCATAACCCCACTTCCCCCCATGAGGAAATACATGAAACCTTGGATAGATCTGGGTGAAAAAATGCGTCATTTAAAGTACGAGGTAACAGTAGCTATCGTAGGGAAATACACTAGGCTCGAAGATTCTTATACATCCATCACCAAGGCTTTACATCATGCTGGCAATAAGATTGGTTACAAGGTTAATATCAAGTTTATAGAAGCCTCCAATCTAGAAGCGACCATGCTCTCTGAAAATCCCGCTTCTTACCATGACGCTTGGCACAATTTGTGTGTGTGCGAGTAAGTTATAATTAATTAAATAATTTAAGATTTCCATATAGAGTCTGCACCTGTGGCAAAACAGTATAGGACTTGAATAAAGTTTTAACATGCTTTATAATTACACTTAGGCCTCCCACTGGTCTGAACGCACTGATTAATCACATCTCTTAAAGGCTTATTTAGTTCGAAGTCGATCACTCGATTTTCGTTTTACGTTGTAACATTTAAATGTACACGAGCGTGAACTTATTTGTTTTGTATGACTGCACATGGGGATTACTGTAATTTCCAGAAATATTAAGTCTATTGCTTAATTAAAGAGATTTCCACATCATTTCAAGAGGCTTACTATTACAAAGACGAGATCTAGCAGAGTATGACGTAATAAAATAAAACTTCTTGTAGCTGCGTCGTGGTACCCGGTGGATTTGGGAAACGCGGGGTCGAAGGTAAAATAGGGACGTGTCAGTGGTGTCGCGCAAACAACAAGCCCTTCCTTGGCATTTGCTTGGGATTCCAAGCAGCCGTCGTAGAATTCGCCCGAAACGTCCTCAAGCTCGAAGACGCACATTCTACTGAAGTTTGCCCGGATACAAAATATCCCGTGGTTATCGACATGCCTGAACATAACACTGGCGAGATGGGTGGTACGATGCGATTAGGAAAAAGAGCGACAATTTTCAAGCCTTCCGCGACGAATAGTAAAATAAGTAAGCGTTCGATGACATTTTTAACTAAATAAGTACGTTGGGTGTTTTTAGGACGCTTGTATGGAAACAAGGATAAGATCGACGAGAGACATAGGCACAGGTACGAAGTGAATCCGGATTACATAGAACAGTTCGAGAAGTATGGAATGCAGTTTGTTGGTAATTATAAAACACATTTATAAGATTGGTATTTCAGCGGTACAGGGTCTATAAGCATTTAAAAAAATATGTTCACTGCGTAGATTTTTTTTTTTCATTAAAACAAATGAAATTTATAAAATATAAGAAATGTGACTTAATATTAAATAAAAATGCAGATTTGGAAAATATAATAATATGAACTATTTTACAAATTTCTAGCTCCTTTTCAATTTGATGATTTTTTAGTCAAAAGGATCTTCTCGGTGATATTTGTTAAACATGTCTCATATTGTACTTTCATTTTTAGTGAAACTAAATTTCAGTGTCTTTCGCTACAAACAATTTCATGTTTTTGGCAATCAATGTTCTTTTTAAATCGATTGCATGAAACTAATAGAATAGCAGAGAGTGAAACTACTACAATGGAAAATAATTTTGTAAAACAGATTGCTTTGTACGATTTTGCAATATTTCATTTTAAAGCTACGGTATTTTTTTTTGTCAATGCAGATGAATGCCAGTGCAGTAAGATGGATCGTGATGCGGTTTTTTGCATTCGATTCGTAAGAGCGTCCAAAAAGTTTGTGACCCTATGTGATCAATGAGAAATGAAAATTGCATCGGTGCATAAGAAAAATGCATTTTTAAAATTGAATCTCGAAGAGATAAAATATGAAAAATTTATAACCCGGAAAATATTGACGGAAATGAGTTCAATTTTGCTACTCGGGGGTTTTGGGGTCGCTGAACATCCTGGGCACTAGGTACCTCGGAGACCGTTGCCATCGTGATATTCGTGTTCAGCGACCTTAAAAAACCCGAGGTAACGATTTTCAGCTAAGTTTATAACGAATTTCCACAAAACTGCAGGAGACGACGTTGAAACTGGCCACCCTGGGCATTAGGTACCTCGGAGACCATTGCCGTCGTGATATTCGTGTTCAGCGACCCCAAAAACCCCCGGGTAGGAAAATTGAACTCATTTCCGTCATTTCCAAGTTAAAAATTTTTCATTTTTTAACTCTTCGAGATGCAAATTTTAAAAATGCATTTTTCTTATGCACCGATGCAATTTTCATTTCTCATTGATCAGATAGGGTCACAAACCTTCTGGACGCTCTAACGAATCGAATGCAAAAAAACTGCATCACGATACATCTTACAGATTTCGGAGGTAAGGCCGTTTTTAGTGCTTTATTTCCTCGACTAGATATGTGGATAGGTTTACAAAGACTATTCTGATACATTTTCAATATTTTTTAAAATAAGTTTTCAATGAAAAGAATTTGTTAAAATTTTTTGAAAACACTATGTTTAGATTGTGAATCTCAGTATCAGTTACCTCTGACATTGACCTAATTTAGGTGAGTCACATAATATCAATCCACCTGATGTGATATGACAACAGACGCAGGAAAAAAAAAATACAATTTTAGACCCATAAGCAGAGTACACATGTGCCAATAAGGCATTTTCAATGATTTTTTAATTTTTAAACTGAAACAAAAAACTTATCCGGCACTATGAATCGATGAAATTTGTAGCTTGATGTTGAATATAAAAAATCCCTAATGTGGCTTTCCCTTGACTAAGTACATCTAGAAGCCCAAAAAAAATATAGGGTTGTCCTGGTTCTTTGTGAGCTGCACTGTATACTAGAATGAAAATTGAATAAACAAATATGTTCCTTAAGGTGTGGATGTGGATCAGGAGCGAATGGAGGTGTTAGAATTGGACAACCACCCTTACTATGTGGCGGTCCAATACCATCCCGAGTATCTTTCGAGACCCATGAATCCCTCTCCACCGTTTATGGGGCTGATTCTAGCAGCCAAGGATCGCCTCAAGTCTTACTTTGCCAGAGGCTGTAAACTTTCTCCGAGGGAACCCCAGTCTGACTATTACGACTCCGGTAAATGCACTAATCAATTTATGTTTGTTGTGATGCTGAATCAGTGGTATTTCGTAATAATTTTTTTTTTAGAGGATGAATTGAATGAATTAACGGTTAGACAGCTGGGCATTTGCTCCGATCACGAGGATAGCAGCAGTGCCTACAGCAGTTCCAGTATATCTTCCTCCAAAATTGAATTATAAGTCGGCTTATTTGCGGATTCTCTCTGAAAGTATTCGAAATAGCAAATTTTTATTCAGCCGACAAGCGTATAGAATTTTAAAAAATTGTGGATATATATACGTGTAATTGTTAAAATTATTATTGATTCCAAACGTAAAAGTATTTTTAAATGATTTGTTATATAGGTGATTATATTTATTTTTGCAGAAGTTTATGGTAGGGTAACAATTTGACCAATAAATCGTTGAAAGAGGAAATACTTATTTTTTATTTAGCCTTTCCGAACCTTAAAATCCCTGGGAGAGGCACTTCAAAGGGCGTCAAATTCCGGATATCTAAAGTGGTCGATATTATCTGTCTGTCTTAAGAAGGCTTTACAGCCTTCTGTGTAATAAAATCTATAAATATGTATTGCTGGTTGCCTATTTGCTATAAAGCCCTTTTAAGGGCTTCACAAATTTCGATCAATTCGTGTCAATTAGGCTGCACAAGCATGCCAGACACAGTGTGTGGAAAAAAAACGTTACAGTTTCACGATCGTGTAAAATTTGTTTTGGTTAGATAGATTGCCTTTTTTGGTTTGCACAATTTGGTCTGTACAGTCCTGTTCGCACGAATGGAACGAAGTCTGGGACCCTTTAGACACCATAAGAATCGAGATGAGCATTAGGACGAGCCTAGTGGTTCTAATAGCGGGTCCACCCCCACAGAGACTAGCCCGAGAATAAGGGCAGGTCAAAGTTTTCTGGTTAAGGAAGTGAAAGATATTGCTGTAAGTGATAGCGACCTGGTAGACAGGCCACGGCAAAATAACCAGAAAAACCATCGTATTTTAAAGAAAAAACTAAAATTGTGCCGGAAATAAATTTACTTAATTTCTATTATTTCTAAGAAAAAAATTTTAAAAAATAAATTTATTATGCAGTTAGATTAATTTAAAATAATTAAAACATTCTTTTCAGAATAAAAGTTTAGGATTTTTTTTTTGGAAATATAAGTTACTCAAAAATCAGGATTTTTTCGAAAAACATAAAAGAGTAGTAATTTGTAGAAAATTGAAAGACAAATCCGAAAATATCATGATTATTACCGTAAAGCAGTGGCTTACTATTTTATTTAGAAAAATATGCCACCGATACCCTGTACCTCTGCCACTGGAACATCTAAATTTCAGGAAATCGCCTCAAATTTTGGACAATGTTTACATAAATATATGTGCCCAATTTCAAATTATTTCACATACAAGTTTTTGAATAATTTAAAAAAAATAAAAATATTTTTTTGGGTTTAACACCCTGTATCTTTTTAACGAAGCTTCCTAGATAAAAACTTTATACGAAAAACTCCCTTTAAATTTCTCCAAAGAATACACAGTTTCATTTTTGGTCACCGTTTATGAATCACCCTGTATAATAAGTAAAAACAGCAAATATAAAATATACAGGATGTTCTCAAAGTTGAGGCATTTTTTTAAATAAGATTTAAACTTACCAGTATTATTCTTCCTATTCCCACACGTGGTGGAGTTCCCATATTTTATAATGTATGCATTCGCACTAGACGTTCCCGAGCTCGTCTCGCTCGCATCGCATTTTCAACAGATCTTTTCCAAAGAATCTCGGGTGACCACGATGCAATTGAGACGAGCTTCCTCTTCCATATAACTTAATTTTTGTAACTATTAAAACAATACCTCAACTATTTAAAGAGCGCGAGCAAGGTTGTGTACGATTGCCAAATGCGACTGATTTTGGAAAAGACAGCGATCAGCTCGGACCAGAACGAACTGTGATGCGACGGGACCCCGACTGCCTAATGCAATTCTCTCCTTTAAATATGTTCACAAAAAAGTTGTTCGCGACCGTTTAATATACATGCGATGAAAATAAACCTAAGTGATTATATTGCAGGAAACAACTACTCTACTTGTTATATGCCCCGACTAGCATTGAATTATACCAGCAATATCGTTAACTAGAAAATAAAATTGGTTGTAACATCAAGGCGATATATTTTAAAGCCGTGTAGCATCATAAAAATACAGACTATAACACACCACGCGTTGTTAACGGTTCAAAAATCTTTTTGCTTTCGTTACCAGAATGGAGGGGTTTTTGAAACATTAACGCTTGTCATGTGTCAGGCACTAAATTGTCCATTTTCATGTCATAAATCATCCTTTTGCGTTTAATTGTTCAAAGACAAAGGCATAAAAAATACGAAATGACTATTAAATAACACTTTATTTGTAAAAAAATTACATAATATTAGCGCTATGTTACTACGTAATTCTATCAAATAGAGGTAAACTAATAAAAGTAAATGCCAAAGGCACTTTTGTCAGTATAACTATTTTGGTAGAAAAAAAAGTAAAACGATCAAAATATTAAAATATCAACAAAAAATATATATAAAAAATAATCACTAATGAAAAAAGGACGGAAATTATACCCAATATAAAACTAAAAGTACATACGCATACAAAATTGTATGCAATGAACACTAAAATTGCAGCTGAATCAGGTTGGTATTTATTTTTACATTCAATCATTGACTTTCCTTAATTCCGTTTTGTTTAACTTTCTTGCGATACGTCCCTCCCTCTTTTAAGATATTTTCAGTGTGACTTAACAGAAGTAGTTTTTAGGATAGCCAAACATGTATATAAGTTTATTCCTGTAAAATACAGAAATCACAAAGAACACCTCGCAGTTTTTTGTTATTTACTTTTTTCTGAGAAAACAGAAAATTAAAAATCAACATGCCAATATACCTTTTAAAACTAAATAAAGTGATATTTAAAAAAAACAGCAGTTTTCTCAGAAAAGAAACAAAAAAAAACCTGTTAAGGTATTTTTAACAACTTTCATGTTCAACTAATTAAAAAACTGAGGGAGCTAACGCAGAGAAATTAAACAAAACAAAATTTCAGATGTTCATATTCACCTGCGAAAAAACTCGAAAATTAATGTAAAAAAGTAATATAAAATAGTTTTGCCTAATCAAAAATCTCACCCTGAAAAATGCAGACAAATACAGAATACACATCACGCACTTCAATAAGTTGTTAATATCTCAAAAAATCTATCTGTTTTCATCTTCTAAACTTATGACTTTTCATTTTTAATTTAAACGAAAAGTTATAAGTTCAGAAGATGAAAAACAGATAAATTTTTGAAACATTAACAACTTTTTGAAGCGCGTTTATAGTGATGTGTATTACATGTAAAATTTTTGGTTAGACACAACTATTTTCGTAAAAAAATATATAAATACTGAGATTGGTTCGGTTACGAGTCTGATTGCATAAAAATGTCTACGAACTGAAGCTCCTCCAAGCTTGTCCAACAAACATACAATTTAGGTCTTATTTCACAGAAGTTATACTCGAATACATACAAATACAGTCCACTAAAAAATGGTGTTTCATTAACAATACAAAGTTGATCAGTTCGAACCGGATTGGACATATGGATAAATTTGTATATGCTAGAAGGGGTACGAGTGCTAGTTTCTACACGTAAGAGCCAGCAAAAGGATAAGCAACAAGTAGGAGGCAGCGAATAGCTGAGGCAACAGCATGCCGGCGATTCGACGAGAGAGGTTCCACGGGCCAGGAAAACAAACGAAACACGTGCTTGAAGCAGTCATTCGGCCTATGCAGGGAGAAGCAAGAAGTCACAGCTAAGTAGGTCATTCATCAGCTGATTAGGACATTGGCGGACTCAAAAAAGGGAACAAGTGTTGAAATTGGACGAAAAACTGGTATTATTTTTACAATGGCGGAATTAACAGTTAACATGCAAACGGGCAACTATCAAGGGACAGTTAACGCGTTTTGGTTCTTTTATTAGGGAGATTACTATCGACAAATAGAACAGATTCCAGCTAGGATACTAAAGTGTGGGGAATTGTGGAATGAATTTGAAAATATACAGTTTAAAATCGCAAAGTTCTATGAATACAAAGTGGAAAAACAGGAAAACGTACGGATCTTGTCTAGTTCACTGCAAAAAACATGATACATTTGGCGCAACGGTTTATTTCATTAATTTTTAAATTTATTCACAGGTAAATAAACAATTTCCCACAATATCATTTTGGTACTCATGGTACAAAAAGCTTTGGTTTATTTTTTTACATCTATTTATTACCTTGTATACCCTGAATCTTTAGGTAAAAGAGGGAGTCTTAATTACATGTAAAACATTTACACAATTTAAATGTTAATAATTAATTGTTGATGCTGAATTTTTACAAAATTATCCAAGACTTGTATCAAGGAAAGCAACAATATAATTCGAAAAAGTTAGTTTAGAACAAAAATAATTTTTATGTATGACTGAAGGAATACCAACCAAAACCCCCGAATATATTATTTATCTAATACAGATAACTTAAAAAAAGTACAGGGTATTCAATAAAGTAAACACCTTCCCGCAAGAAACAACTTCACCAAACACCCTGTACTACGAAGACAATATGTAAAAAAAAATTATACCTAAGTCATGTAATTCATAGAGATAAAACTAGTTTCAGATCTTACCGGCTTATAAAAAATATCTTGGTACGTGTCGAACAATATAAATTTGAGTTTCAGTTGTGGACTTAGGGAATCCGTGACAACTCGGAGATTCTTCTGCCGAAAAAATATATACACAGCTGAACTTGTACTATTAGGCCTCAACCTTCAAACAACAGCGTCGGTACTCTACTAAATAAACCACTCCTTCTTCTTTTGGACGTGGTGGCCCGTCGTACCGTGTACTACGGCAGTGTCGGGATCGAGGGCGGTATCGGCCCCTGCGTCCTCTTGGGTCAGGTACTCGCCTTTGTGTCTGTGAAGGTACCTGCCTATTATGATGAGCAGCACCACCAAGGCCAGAAAGATTAAAGCCAGCACACCTTGAAATCGATAATTTTTTTTTAATATCCATTTATAATGCTAATGAAATTTTACAAATTTAATCATATATTAATTCTGTTAATCCTGAAATTTAACTATTATTTTTTTGATAAGTTAGGAAGAATGGAAAACAAATGTACAAATATGACCATAAATAATAAGCTCTTGGCCTTGAACCAGTATTTGAAGGTCATTTTAAAAAGATTTTTTCAAGAATTTTAAATAATTTCAGCGCAAACATTGACTATTTTTTGTTTTAGATCTTCTAAATCTCGTGGTTTAGGAGCTTACACTTTATTTTTTATGTAGCCCCAAAGGAAAAAGTCAAGTGGACACAGATTAGGGGACCTAATTGGCCCCTGAATAGTTCCTCTCCGACCTATCCAACGACTTTTAAATACTACATCTAGTTAGTTTCTCTCAATTGCCCGAAAATGAGCAGGTGCACCATCTTGATGGTACCAAAACTCATTTTAAAAATCTCGTCCGCCATCTTAGATTATGAATTTTCAAAAATTGATTTCAGATTCGTGATCAGCGACCATAAAAACCCCGTATGCCAAATTTCGCGTAAATTGGTTGATTTTTTAAAAATATTGTCTGCCGTCTTGTATTTCGAATTTTTAAAAACCGATTTCACATTTGTGATCAGCGACCCCAAAAACCCCCGTATCCCAAATTTGGTGTTAATTGGTCGGCAGTGCCAGACGGGACTTTTGGAAGTCGACCCACATCTGACCTTGAAGGTAATGGTCAAGGAATCGGTCAAGGTCATAGTGAAACGTAAAATTTCCTGCTCTTTCCAAATCCGCAATAAAAAATAGGGGTTCCCATTTAAAAAACTTAACTTGACCTTTAAATGACCTTGAAAGTCAAAGTCAAGGTCAAATCCAAGGTCATCATCAAATCGCCAGGGAAAAATCCTTTTTTTTATATACCTGCAAGAAAAGTAATTTTTTCACAATGTAGTGTGAAAATAAAGTACGTACCTAGAATATACAAATTATTTTCAGACTTTAACGATGTCAAAGACTTAAGATAAATTTCTGTTTCATGGAGAAAACAAAATTTTTTTAAATTGCAAAAAAATATCATTTAAACTTACTTCCTAGAATTGCAGAATCCACCTGATTGTAAGCCTCTCTTAATTTTTCTTCGTCTAATAGGAGCGGTGGACGGGTTTCCACGATATCAGGCGGGTGAGTAAAGGGTTCCACCCCACAATAATCCTCGGTCAACGGAGCTGCAAATACAAAATATGGTTTCCGTCAATAAAAATGTCATCAAATAGAAAGAAAGAAAATAAAAGAGAGAGAGGAATACGTACTTCCCAAAGACTCCACGTTCCCGGGTCCCTCTTGCTGGAACAGCAACTTTAGCGGATAAATATCGTCAAATTCCACACGAGATATGCAACCTACGAAACCTTCAGTCATTGATTCGTTCTTCCCGATATACATATACTGGATGTTATTGAATTGGGCGTCCGCGGACGCCTTGATATTAAACTGGAACTCCTTCGGTTCATAATTATCCACCTGTATGACTAATACGGACCCGGAGTTCTTCCGAGACAGTGTCACGTCGTGGTACTGACCCAAACCAAAATGTTTGTCGGGATAAATCACCTCCTGCCTCTCGAAACCAAAGTCGAACACAACCCGCAGATGTCCGGAATTAGAAACCATGATGGTCATGAATTCGCCCGAAATCATGGAAGAGAAACCCAAGAGGAAACCTTTCGGATTGGGGGTGATAAAGCCAACTCTTATATGTTCTGCAATGGTTGACCTGAAAGAACCCTCGAAGTGGTATTTGACCATGGAGCTAGATTTCATGCTAACGCCAATTTCATCGGCGCAAATGGGGCCTTTGAACGCGGTCCACCGGCAATCGCAGGAGTATCCATCGTAACGTTCGTGACACGTCCCGTTGTTCAAACACGGACTACTCTGGCATTTTCCTACACATCCTTCCGACACTCCGTACAACCCTCTGCGAGCGTAAGACCGCAGATCTATATGTTCTCCATTTATTAACAGCGCTCTGATGCAACCCGTGAATCCATCTCTATAATCGAGCGAAGCTCCAAGGACCAATTCCGATGTGAGGTGAAGCGCACGCACAGGTCCCGGAGGCTCTCTAACCTCCGCTTTTAATGCCCCGTCGACGATTATCATTGCCTCTTTTCGATTTCTCTCCACCGACACCGAATGCCACCTGTCGTCAGCCAACTTGTAAGAGGTCTCCCGGATGACTGCCATGGGCCCGGAACCAGCCTGGTACTGGAATTGTAGCTGATTGCCACTGACGATGCTCAATTTTATGTAATCCGTGGGTCCCTTCGAGTGGAATATCACAGCGTTCTCGGAAGCAGTTCTGAATTCGAAATAGATGTCACCACTATGGCCCATGTCGAAAGTGGGCAAGTTTATGGTGGCGTCGGCCACCCTGAAGGTAACGACGTTGTTGAATAAATCGTCACCTTGGCATATCAGGGGCCCCAAGGTGTAACGGCCTTCCTTGTTGTCTAAGGCACTGCCGGTGTCACCAAAGTGCAGCTGTTTGACCGGAAGGTCGTCTTTTTCCACTATGTCACCTGAATGGGAAGCATATTTTATAATGAAGAAAAATCATTAAATATTTACGAAATTTCAAAATTACATTTTTGGAAAGAATATTTTTATGTTGAAACCATATAGCACACTCCATAATTAAGATTGACCGTTTCCGAGATATTTTGATTTTTAAGCATAAATTGACACTCAGCATTTAGTTTTCCCGGAAACACAGGTTTATTTTTTTGTGCAAATTGGACATGTTGTAGAGGAAGACCTAATTTATCGGATTTGACATGAAAATTTTCCAGTTTTCATACAGGGTGGTCAAAAAAAAATTATCGAATATGAAGTTCACAAAATGTGGAAAACCAACTCAACTTTAAATGGAAACGCCTACTTTTTTTAACACTCACATTCTGCACTAAAATTTAGTGTAACTTTGTTGAAGTTTCCCTATACCTAAACCCAGTCGTTTTCATTTTATTTACTGTCTTCTTCTAAGGCCTTCGGGAAATCCAAATGAGTCCTAAATTGACATCCTCGGCTGGTTCTCCATAGGTTGTCCCGAAGAATGTTATTTTATTTATTATTATTTTTATCCCTATAATGTTTGGGGTGTCGGTATGACTCTTTTTTAATGTATTGGTTTGGCGGTTTTCTGTTTATTTATTTTATTTTATTTTTTAATTTATTTATTATTTTGTTTTGTTCCTATTCTTTTATTGATTAATTTTTTTAAATTTCTTTTTTTCACCTCTTTTCAACCTTTTTCTTTTCTTATATTTTTAGCATTTTTCTTATATTTGTTATTATTTTTTTCCAAGTAGGAATCGGGAAGCAGATTGGTCGGATTGAAATTAAAGATTTATTTATGTTAAAAACCTAACGCGTTGCGAGAGTACAAATTCTTTCTATATGAGAACTGAAAGCGTCAGCGATGTAGCACGTAGACTTGCTAGATGCTAGAGCGAGACTCTGTCCTCTGATGCGCGCTCAGTGACGTCACCACGACATTACGAATAAACATTTCCTTTTTCCTAAAATAGTGTTTCCATTTGTTTCGCACATTTTAGGTTGGCCATGACAGGTAAGTAACAATCAACATGATAGATACTATTTTATTTGGGAGAATAAAAAATAGTATGTATAGTACTCCAGTAGCAACAAAGGAAAATTGTATGAATAGAGTATGACAAGCACTTGAGCATCTATCACCGGATTCTATTAGAGCAGCAACCCACAAGGAACTAATCCGAAAATGTGAAAAATGTTTAGAAGTTGAAGGAAGATATTTTGAACATTTATCAAAATAAATTTGACAATTAAAACCCTGTGACAGTTGCCATGTTGATTGTTATTTACCTGTCATGGCCAATCTAAATGTACGAAACAAATGAAAACACCATTATAGGAAAACGGTGTTTATTCGTAAATAAAATGAAAACGACTGTTCATAAGGAAACTTTAACAAAGTAACACTCAATTTTAGTGCAGTATGCAAACACGTTAATAAAATTGGGAGTTTCCATTTAAAAATTTCGAGTTTTTCACATTTTCTGAACTTTATAATCGATAATTTTTTTTGGCCACCTTGTATAAAAACTGGAAAATTTTCATGTTAAATCCGATAAATTAGATCTTCCTCCACAAAATGTCCCATTCGCACAAAAAAATAAACCTGTTTCCGGGAAAACTAAAATTTGCTGTCAGTCTTCATCTGTCAATTTTTGCCTAAAAATCAAAATATCTGGGAAACGGTCAATCCTAAGTATGGAGTGTGCTATATGTTTTCTACTTAAAAATAAATGTCCTTTCCAAAAATGCAAAAATAGACATTGAGTTCCATTTAAAATAAGAAAGTTAGTATCGACCTTCGATATAATCGAAAGTATGATAACCTTGAAAATATTTACAGCCACAATTTCAAAAAAATCCTTCGAGCAGTTTCCTAGATATCCATCGATGGTGTTCGTGGTGAGACACCCTGTATATAGGACATCTATATACACAGAACGCTGGTACTTAATTTTTTTTTCAAATCAAAGAAAAAATTAAAAAATTTCAAATAAAAAAACCACCAAAAATTAAAACAAATAAAAAACTTAAACAAATCATAATATCGAGACGTGGTTTCAATTTTTCTAGAAAATTAAGCCCAAGACATCTTAATTACTTATTTATCTTCTCGGGATATATGAGAAAAGAGAAATCCCCCCAAAAGCATTGATTTTGGCCCACCCTGTACTTAATAAATTGATTTGGACTCACCTGCATCTATCAACCACAGATCCAAGGCGGCGTCACAGTTACACCACTTCGTCTTTTCGATACAAGTACCCAACACTCCGCAATCGCATTTCCTAGAGCCGGGAAGCCCACCTCCCCAGTAGTCCATCTTCTGGTTGTGTCTCGACACCCACCACGAAAACGGCCTGAAATTGTTCTCATCAGAGGGCGAGTTGAACAGCCTCGCCCCTTTGCAAGCATACTCGATGCGTTGCCGACAAGTACTCGACCTGTTGATCAAAGCGGTGATTTGGTCGTCGTTCGCCTCGTAGTGAATGTCCTGGATGAAGCTGCCGGGTTCTTGAAAGCCGTCCACCGAAGTCGTAGCTTCGTTATTGTGGTGGAGCACTGTGGAAACTTTACCGTCGGAATGGAATTCGCAAGTGACCGGGAAAGGCGACAACGGCCCGCTACCGTCTACGTCGATTTTGATCTCGGCTCGTTGCCCCACCGCTTGTACGTTTTTATAAGCTACGCAGGACAACGGATTGATGGAAGTGTGACAAACGGCACCGCCGTAACCGGTCTCTTTACAAACGCACATAAACTCCATAGAATTTTGTTTGCACGTTCCGCCGTGTTTACAAGGATTCGGATTGCAACGATCTATCATTTGACAAGCGTCAAAAACAACGTCATCTCCACAGCAGTATTCCTCTTTCGTCCAGTCGGTGGGCAGTTTGTTGTTGCCGTCGATGCGAATAGTCCTCAAGCAACCGACAAAGCCAGGAAATACGATACTGGAATAACCTAAGGCGGCGCTCACGCCCCCTGCTATGAGGTAGGTGCCCCCGGTGGTGATTTTCAGCAGTCTAGTGGTGTGCATTAATCTGTAATCGACGGATAGGATCACTTTGTTGGTTGCAATCGATAAAACGACGCTGTGCCATCTTCCATCGTTAAACTTGCTCTCGTAATTGTCGAATATGACTTTGGGGTTGTTGGCTGTGACCAGTTCTACTTTCAACTTTCCTTGTTCCAGGAAGATCTGGAAACAAAATAATAAATATAATATCGGGGAAACTAGATACACCAAATTAAAATTTTTAGTAATGCGGAACGAGGAAGGATGAAGTCCAACTTACAGCTACATATCCGCTGGATGAAAAGGCATGGTACAGCAGAATCCCGTTGTCTTCGTACGTCCTGAACGCAAATGAGGCATTCAGCGAGCTCATCCCTTCGTAACCCTTCAATCTCGCGAACGACTTCTGGGTTTTGAAAGTAATTGGTACGATCGGCGGCTCCTAAAACACGAGTGTGTAATGAAAACAACTCATAATTTATTACAGAAAACTTACCGGACAACTCCAGCCCGTGTTTATTTTTTCAAACCTCAAAGCTTCTCTGTACTGGAAGGCCTCTTTCACATCATGGATGAGGTTGGTCGAGTTCAAATATAAATTTTCAATGCAGCCCGTGTAGTTCTGAAGCACTACCAGTCCCTCTTGAATATTCGGAACACCACCAACGTAAAACTGCAATGTATCGGAATAAACGTCAATGAAAAATAATTATTTTTCTATATTTACGTCTCTGTTCAGATTCAACCTCTGAAATTCGCCTTTGATTTTATCCATTACCACCACTCGATCCACGGAGAATAATATGTCTCTCATGTTACGAGAAATAACAACGTCGTGCCATATGTTATCGTCCAGCAAGCTGCCGACGCACAAGCTCGTCACAGTATCAGTACCTGAAGAAAAACAAAATCAGGGTAAATTACAAAAAAAAATAGTACTAATACAAAACAAAAACACATAAAAAAAAATCAACTGCAAATTTTTTTACCTAAATCTATGTTCAACAGCATTCTGTTATCTCGAAGCTGCAAAGCGATGTAATCCCCTTGGGTGCCTCTACTATACAAGACCACTCCGTTTGGTGAAGTGGTCTTGAATCTGAATCTGATGCTCTCTCTTAACGCCGAGATGGGTTCCCTCATTAAGTCCCATTTCAGGAGGGCGGTACCGTTGAAGTACACATTGTCGGCTTCTGCAAGAGACTACATTTAATATTTCACACGATAACAAGATGAATACTAACCGTATTCACAACCAAACAGCTCTACTCTTAAAGAAATGCGGTCTCGCCATCTCGTAGGATTTATCCGTATCCACTGAGCGATGATGGGTACCTCGAATTCGTTTTTGTGGATTTTGTCGCCATCTACATTGCCGGGGAACATCTACAAGTGAACTTTTTATGTCAACATAATTCGCTCAAAAGAGAAAACCAATATTTCAGAATCATTCAGTTACAGGTTTCAATTAAAAGGAAAATTAGAGTAGAAAATTAGAGAAAAAGTTAATTGATTAGTTAATTAGAAAATTGAAAAAGTGGTGCGTGGATACAATTTTACAGTGAATTTTTTTTTGTTAAGAATTTCAAACCACGAATGGAATTATTGAACTGTTTTATGAACAAATTTGGCTATAGTTATTAATTTATTAATATACAATGTGTTACAAAAAAGTAAATCGAGCTATTAGTTACAGATTCTTTGGAAGAAAATAACGGGATTTTGGTTATGCAATTTTTCATTTAGGCATTTCTTTTTCAACGAACAAGATATGAAAGTGACATCATAAAAAAGATTTTTAAATTAAAGAAAAATGAGGTAACATACCCATAGACCTTGCAACAACCCCAAATCAAAATTTTATGAAAAAAAAATTAAATTAGTAATCCTAAAAAACAATACATTTAAACCATTGGTTTTCATCAATTTGCTGGTTTTGAATTATTATTTCCAAATGAGTCATTTTAAAATAGAATGTGCTGCAAATATTTTCCTGCGAATTTTCATTGCCCGAGAAGTTGAAAGTGTGCTACAGACGAGCATATAGAAATTTCAAAGAATGATGCCAGAATAAAAATACTGGTGTTTCTGAAATGTCACTGCTAGAATATTTCATGGAGAAGTCAAGAACTTTAAAGTCACTGGCGAGTTTGTGGAGTGAATGCTCAATGATGAAGTCAACTATTTTCATAGAGGAGAACGTGGATATATCAAAATACCCCAATTTCAAAAATTGTACATTATGTACATTTACAATTATTTCTCGTCTGGGTTCTGTTTCTTACCTAGAAAGTCTCAAGAAATATATCAAGATTAGATTGGAAATTAAAACTGAAATTTCATGCTTTTTTATGCGCTATCAAGCAGATAGCTGTTACAACCAACCAGTCGCCAAGAATACCCTTTCTATGATTCCTAATAAGACTGCACAGTTTTTGAAACTAGAACATCCTGAAACATATACAGGCCATTCATTCCGAAGAACATCGGCAACGTTACTGGCTAATACAGGAGTTGATGTATTAGCAATCAAGAGACATGATGGCTAAAAATCAGCCACAATTGCAAAAAGTTATGTTGCTGACAGTTTAAGTAACAAAAATGAAATAGCCAACGGGATTCTATACAATGACACTTCAACTCCAGGTTCTAGTAGTACATCGCATCATGCTGTTTTAATGGATCAGTTAGATAATATTGAGCCTCCGGTGACTAAAATGGAGCGGTCAAATCATTTTGAGAAAAATGTGACAATTGAGTCCTCTAGTATCAAAACCCCTTAAATCCGTTTTTGATGAAAAATGAGATATACGCATCAAAATATTCCTACTAAAATTCCCTATTAATGTGTTCATTCGAATGATTGCAAAAGTTACCTAATATGTATAAAAATGTACTCTAAAAAGTGTGTTTAGATTCAAACCCCACGAAATCCATTTGAGCTAACGTTCACACCCCACTAAATCCACAATAGCCAATCATAGAAGGCTAACATGACAACATGTGGTCGGCGGCGCTGTACAAATTTAATTTATGCAGTATTAGATCAGTCATTGTTGTGCTAGTATTATTGTTTTTAGTTTAGTCTTGTACTCGTTAACAAGTGCCAATAAAATAATGTCCGATATTACAACACAAATTGAAATTGTAACACCAGATAAAGGTAGAAAGCGAAGTAGAAGATGTTCTAGACCTGAGTGTTTAATTTTATTTTTTATTATTTGTTGTCCAGTTATTGTTAAAATTTCACAAAACAAAATTTCATTACGGAGTCGCTGTCAGAAGTTGGTTAAACAGTTTTTCTTCATTTATGCAAATTTCACTAACGTGGATTTAAGGGGTTTTGATACTAGAGGATTTAATTAGTAAACGTGAGGGGAATAATTATCCAGATTTTATAAATGTTACTAAATGTAATAACTGTACAATTATTATAATTATTCATTCATAATAATTAATAAAATGTAACATAGTTCAAAAGTAATAAAGAATTCCCTGACTTTTCCAGGTTTTCCCTGACTTATAAAAAAAAATCCAGGTCACTTGTAGTTCAATTTTACATACTAATTGGTGTTTATGCATTAAATTTATTCTCGGCTGGACTCATTCTTTTCACCGAAAGTATCTGTAGTTAATGGCTTGACCTATTTTTTTGTATAAAAAAATATAAATTAGCCTCAGATCAATACTTGCTAATGATTTTTCGATAACTTAAATGGGTCAGAATTCAATAATAAATATATTATCCACACATAAGAAAGAGAGAAGCATAAGCTAGATTAACACATTTCCTAGAACTGAAACGAAAAATCTGTCAAACCAAAAGCATCAAGTGTGTGCACCTCAGTCTCTCCGTCAGCATCGTGGAAACTCTTCCACCCCTCACCATCATCAGAGAACTCAATGACGTACTCCGTTACGAATTCAGACGTGCCGCTTCTACCCTGGGTAGCGATGGAGCGGACCTCATACCGTCCGCCCAAATCCACCACCAACTTTTCAAAATACGTACTCTCCTTAGGCGTCCAAGCAGATGAGCCTAGTGTAGATTAAGGTGAAAGAGGTTAGAGTTAGTTTAGTGCTGGAGTTTTTTCGAGTTGCAAATGCGAACATAAACTATCACCTGCTAGCTAGTACTGGTCAACGTTATTCACATCTCCACACCACTACAATAAGTTTGAGGTTAGAATACAGTAAATACGTATCATACACAAATCAAAGCATTAAGCAGACTTAAAGCATAAAAGAATATTTAGAACATATTAGATTCAGAAGAGAGGTTTGTTTATTTTAGTTAGGAGTTTCATTTTTCACTTCATTTTAAGTAAAAGTGCCTCACCATGATGTCACCACCAGATTCTTTGTAGTCCGCATAATCTAAGCCATTGGTGCCATAGCTAATGCGGTACTCCATGACATACTCTTTGCTATGCGGCCTACCCTGCGTCCAGATTCTGGTGACATTCATTACTTGACCCAAGTCAATAATGAGATTTTGGTCAAAGTCGCTCTCCTGGGCACTCCAGGCGTTGCCACCTTTTGGGGTTTCCGGAATTATTTATTATTTTTTACTGTCATATGTACTTTTTTTTATCACTTACTTCCTTTTACTGTACTCGTATTAACAATTTTTTGTTCGGATTGTATATTTGGTGTAAAATTTTACATCCAAAGGTAAAATATGATCTGAGCAACTGCATTGTTGCTTCATTGGTTATATAGATACTGCTAGATCAAAGAGGGGTAAACGCTTGCTCACAAATTTTGACGTTTAGACTATTCGGATATAGTGGGTACTGCGACTGACATCCCCAAATCTAACAAAACGCACCTTTAGTAGTAATACTTTATTACTGTTGCTTCAAAAAGTTTACACATGTCATACAATTTATCTGTAGTATTTATTACATTATAATAATTTAAGATTTAAGACACATTTCTTTTGACCAGAGGGTGTTAACCGCTCCGCCTATTGCAGTAAAAAATGCTAGAGCTCGTAATAAAATATAGGTATTATATTAAAAGAAATTGAACAGATCTCCAGATCGAGACCAAAATGAAAAACGTAGCTCAGATTCAATCTTTTACCCTTAGATGTCAAATTTGACATTAATTAGACAATCCACATACAAGCACCCTGTATATCAGCAATATTTTTGCAACCAATTCCTTTTAAGCAGGGCTTTATAATTTTTTTATTAAAAAAATACACTTAATTTTGAAAATTTTATGCTACTGTCTGGTAGGAAATTAATTTTGCTAATTACTTCTAATTTACTGGTATTTATTTTAAATGTTATGCAGTGTTTCAGAAAAATGTATCATAAATTCTGAGGTACCAATAGAATATTAAAAAATAAAAGGACTTTTTGCCTAGGAACTATAAGTATTGAGTATAAAATTCCATATTTCATTCCTTTTACTTTTTAATTCTACATAAAAATTGTACTCGTCAGAACTCACAAAAGTTCTTTTCTCTTGTTGAGTAGACTCGTCTTATTTTTACAGACTAAAATAATACGATCTAGTAAAAAGATAATTGCAAAAATTAGGTAATTTACATGAAAAAAAAAGTATACACACAAAATATAAATAAAGAATAAAGGCTGAAGAGAATGACTAGTTAACATTTTTAATAAACTTAAAAATTATTGAAAGCACTAAAATCAATGAAAAAGACTCAATAAACCACTGTACGTACTTCAAAACACGTCCGACTTCATAACAGGTGACAAATAATGGATCTATGCATATGAATGAGTAAACAGCAGTCGACTGTATGGGTTTTTCAAAAGTTGTTCGTGTCCAAAAAAAATGGTCACCCGTTTTTTCGAAAAAACCGGGCATGTGGTAATTGTACTATTATTACGTCAGACGGTGAATTCTGAATGGTACACAACCATTTGTACGCCGGAAGTCTTGGGAAAAATAAGGGAAACCAACCACCAAAGATGCATCATTATCCACCAAGATAATGTTAGCTCTGAGACATCAGCTCAAACAAGACTTTTTGCGAACTGAAAATGTCGAATTGAAGAGTGATCCATTGCATAGCCTTGATTTGGCATCCATTGACTTTTTTTATTCCCAACATCAAAAATAAATTATGAGGTCAACGTTTTTGATCCCTGAAGAAGCAGAAAATGCATGTTTTGGAGGTACATCAATCGGAATTGAAAAAGTGCTTCGAAAATTCTTTTTTGTTCTCTAGTCCCGAAATATAAAAGGCAATCCTTGTAAAATTTAATGCCCTGTATTTTTAAAACAAAATACAGCAAACTTGTAAGTAGTTCACAAAAAAACTGCTCTCTCAGAACTCATGCTGTTTTTTTCTGAAACACCCTGTATATAACTGAATTATAATATTGTTAACATGAAAATTTAATAGTTTAACTAGTAAATCAAATCAAACTAAAAACAAAAAACTATAATAAAAAAATAAAGTTGTAGCCTGCAAAAAATGCTAAACTTTTATATTGATTTAATAAACAAGCAACATCGTAATGTCTGAAAATCATGCAATGCTATATATCAAAACTACACACATATAGCTAAATCTATGTGCTTTTCAAAACTAAAAATATATTTTTCATGACATAATTTGTGGATTAGTTAAAACATCATGGACTATAAGTATAAGTGTGGAAGTTATAATTATCTGTCCACATATTGTATAAATAATTACTTTAAATTATTCAGAAGCCATATTCTTGACCTTTCAACTTCAACCTAAGAAATTAAATTTGCTTAATATTAATTTTAAAGCGGAATTTGATAACAATGATTTTATTATTTATGAGAAATTATAAAGCACAAAATAAAAAAAATTTATATCAAAATATTTTTATTCTTCTATGACATTACGGTCTTTCACATTTCCTAAAATAGTTCAGACAATATTGTTCGTCCCTAGGAAGAAAAGGTACACAACCTTCCATCAGTTCACTAAAATCAATTTCTCTAAAAACTAAATTCATATTAGAAGTGTCATTTAAAGCTACAGCAACACAATGCTGATCATCTAAAAGCATTTCCTGGAATTTCCAGTTCACTTTCATCCCTTTTATATATAATTCAGTATCATCGACTATAAAATTCTTGTCAAGAACACTCGTATTAACCTTAAAACGAATATCTTGTAAGTTTATCGTAATTCCCACACCAATTGCTTTCACGTAACTTTCCTTGAGGCACCAATGTCTGCAAAACATGGCTATTTGTTGTTTTTCAGTACCGCTACTCTTGATCATTACCCATTCTTCAGGGGAAAAATTCTTAGTCATTAATCGAAAAAATTCATCCAACGATTTACCACCACTATATTCCAGTTTCATTACGTCTACTCCTAATTTAACGTTGCTGCATTCTCCAGCTAAAACGACATAGTCTCCTTGATGAGATATGTTAAAATCCAGGTTTGGATATGTATTGCTTTCAAATAACATTGGCTTTCCTTTATCATCTCTCAGGAACTTAATTTCATCATATTTTTTGCCGGAGGCTTGACAAACAAATTTTCTCATCATTAATCTGCCGATTAAGGAGGATTTAAAGTCTTTTCTGAAATAGAATCTACTCAAACGGTCCTTCTCTTCAGTTTGTACACATGAAGAGGCTAGTAGCATATCGGAGTGAGACGGATTCCACTTAGTAAAATTGAATGCCCACCTTACACTAGTGTTCGTCATTTTAAAAATGTTCATTGATTCACACTACACTAGTACAGCTGTACACTGTTTTCCTCACCTACGCAATGAGAAAAACAGTATTAATGTCAGTGACATTATTCATATTTTTATGATTCAAATATTTAAGTATATATAATCTTTTCTGAATATTTAAGAAAAAAAAAACTATATTTTAATTTGATCATGAAAGATATAAAATTTTACTCTTTAGTAAGTCGACAGTTCAATATAGCTTACTGTAAACATTTTGAAGGTTTCCTCTAGTTAATCATATAATTAACCTATTTTTTACGTCAGTAAATTTAAGAACTTCTTTATGATTTTCATTGTCATGAATGACCAAAAAAAAATTAAAATAAGATTTTAACTAATCCACAAATCTTGAACTAGATACAGGTATACCTATTACTCATCTGAATTAATTAATTAAGTCCTATTAACTAAATAGACATACCATAAAGAACGGCATTCTCAGGTCCTCGTTCATTCATAGAAGATGTTGCACTAAGTGCTGCTCTATGCAATAGGGGTGTATTACATTCATATTCATTGTAGTAATCTAAAAAAAAAGTTACATGGTAATTAGAACTTGTGGAAATATTGTTTACTAATAAATATTTATGGAATGAGTCATGAGAAATTAAAATATAAAATACGAATAATTTACGAATAAAAACATTTTACAATTTTGTTTAAAAATAATCGGAAATTATCTCAACATCATGTAAAACAGAGAATAAACATTAAAAATTGATTTTAAATACCTACTCAGCCATTTTGTTGCTACAGTATTATTAATATAGATTTATTTGTAATTATGAACCATGTAAATTATTTTGTAATAAACGTTTGTATAATACCTACCTGCAGAAATTAAGTTGGGATAAATAAACAAAAATAAATAAATATTTAACAACACCATGGCTACAACATGACACAACCGACAAGTTACACCCAACTTTTACAAATCTCAAAAACATCAAACATGAAATACGTAACGGCGATACCACCACAAAACATGTTGCCACTACAACACGACACAACACGCGCCATTATTCTATGGCTAGAAAATGGCCTCAATGATTTGGGATCGAGGGGGATTATCCCTCTTTATCCTGCCTCATCTCGTGTAGGCCTGGACAGCCTTCGTAGGTGGGCCCCATCCGTCGTCTACCCCGACCGCAAATGCGGCCGGTGTAGGCGCTTTGTGGGACCTCCTTTTGTCCTGGCTGGGCCCCGCCGGCTAGGGCCCTTTCTTCTGGCGCTCTTCTTGCTTCGCCGGCTCGTCTGTGTAAACCCCGGGGGTAGTGTCATGTTTATGTGTGGTATGGTTGGGTAGGGTAGTGCGGCTATGCAGCCTGGGATGCGCTTTGCTAAGGTGGCCCTTAGGCTAGCGCG